GGAAAGTTAATTAGCCGCGTATAATTTCTGTGCTTTTGCGCGCGTTATCCCATACGAAGGGAAACCCACGCCGGTGGTGAGCTGGCTGGTGAACGGTAAGGAGGTGGACGGCAGACTCGAGGAGTTCGGCCAGAACATCGTTGTCAGCAAATTGACGGTGCCGCAGCTGCGGCGAGAACACCGCAACACCACGTACAAATGCCAGGCGGCCAACACGCATCTCATACCGCCGCTGGAGAAGACGGTGATCCTCGACGTTTATCGTGAGTACTTTTCACCCAGTTCTTTTTATCTAGAAGAAAATTTCCGTAGAAGAACTTTTTCTCTCTTCGTCGGCGCGATACAATCAATTTTCCCCGTCCGACAAGTGCACGTAGCGTAAATATTTGTAGGAATTTGCATACATTTATGTTTTTACGGAAAATTGATGTACATATACTGACATTGCTCTTCATTTAAATTTCACATGCGATAATTTTTTCGTATAAAAGCAAATGAGTTTTAAAGCTACCAAACGGCGAAAAGTTACAAAAGGCTGAGTGTCATCCAAAGGTTAACGTGTTGGTGTCGTTCCGTTTTGACGCGCGCAAAAGCGCAGTCGGCCGCATTTAGAAAGTTGCACGTGTCGTCGGGGATCTCAATTAAACGGGGTAACGAGCGCATTTGACAAAAATATGGCATTTATTTACCGCAATATATTGGTTGCACAATCTCTAATTACGCTTTTGCAAAGTTAATCAAAACGCCCCGGGGCATTCAACATGTTAATAATTCATGTTAGTTAAATTTCGACCGCGGAAAGTAATCCTTTCTCATTTCTGTTATCGGCCCGATAAATTATTGGCAGGTTTGTAGGAGCGCACTGACCCTGGCACACGGATAACCGCCATGACACACACACACGAAAATAAATTTAGCTTTCTTTAATTATTCAACTTGAACAAATCTCGAATGAGCGGAATAATCCGTTTATGTTTGTAAATCCTTTTAACTGACCATTTTTATCAAAAGCGATGTTTGTAATCTTCTTCGAAACCGATATCGATCAGATTAATATTAAGCACATGTTATATGTACTCGTTTAATTAAAAAATCATCGCCTGCCCTATTTACTAGATTGTTAAAAAAGCTTCGAATAAACTTTAGTTTTAACACACGCAAAAAACATTTTTACATTCAAGTGTAGAAACAATGACGATTATTCCTCAAAATAAAGACCATCGTGTTCAATAACTATTCGCTACCAGCTGCCGGATTTGGTTTCGGTACCATTCTGGCTCCTTAAACGCGAAGAAGCTGCGTCACGACAAGCTGACTCAACTTGTTCAACAGTTTCGAATCGTCATCCTCGCAAGAAATGTTTCATTGAGCGAAACAGGCAATAGTCAAACGGTGCAAGATTAGGACTATGTACCAGATGCGGTATCTCGAATGCCTAGACGAATGCTAGACGAATGACACTGAAATTGAATCCAGCTGACAAACTGGTGATTATTGAACATGATGTTTTTTATTTTGAAGAATAATTGTTATTGTTTTTTAATAGTAAGCAAAATTTATTTGCGTATGTAAAAATCGTTTTTATATGTAAAAACTGAAGGATGATTCAGAACTTTTTTACAATCTAGTAAAACCTGCTGCACTACACGAAGCTTTTATTTCCGCTGAATTGCTAGTTAAATGTGCGTACTTACTGCCGTCTTAGGCAACGATGTTGGCAGTGCTGCTGACTGTGTTGCTAACTTAGCTTCAGTACGAGTTTTCGCGTTGGCTAAGCAGTTGGAATTTAACAGAAAATATTTGACGAAAGTATCCAAATAAGTAAACATGAATCATTACTATTGTAATACCTATATCATCATAAAGATATAATTGCATTGTTTTTAATTTATTATTGCAAAGAGAGTTTTTTGATCACATGACTAAAGCTGCGTCCTGATTGTCTCTCACAATAAATCAGCACAAGGTCATGCAAGGAGGACACCACCTAATCTATCACGAAAATTCTGCAAATTAGCAAACAGCGTAGTCAGCAGGCTACACAATTTTCATAACAGCCAGCTTGATATAGCAGCATACTGTTAGATATCAAAGGAACAATAGTAATCCAATTTCTTAAATTAAATAATATTTTGCTTATTATTTATTAAAATTATGTAATGTATATTGAGTCGACTACTGGATGTGAGTGTATAAATCTGTTTATACAATCGATGGAACAAAAAAGAATCATTGCAGTAAGGCGAATGATCAACACCAGGATTGCAGAGCGTAACATTCATTTGATTTAATTCGTTAAAAATGACTTGAATGTAAGTCGAAACGCGAACAAAATACATGATACATATTATTAGATATTGAATGTCTATTAGCTAACTAGCGCACTAATTATCGCGTTGACTCCTATTTCCCGATATATCTCGTTCGTTAATTTGTTTAAATATCGAGGAGTCTGATTTCTTTGCATTTGTTAAATAATATTTCGTTATTTTTAATTTCCTTGTGTATCAAAATGTATATCAATACATTTCTATGATTAGTTTCAAAGTAAACAACGCTGTATTAACGCGTATGCACGTAGTAAATAATGAATTATATTTCAGTCGAATTTAATACACTTTATTGAGTTAAATTGTTTAATTCCACTGTTTTAATTAAATTAACGACATATTGAGAAATAGCAATCTATAGAATGATTAAAAATAATTCAAATTGAGTGTAATTTAATATCATAAACATAACAGCGCCTGCAAGGAAAAAACAATTTTGCTGAGGTGACTAAAAATTCAGCTAGATACAGAGGTGAAAATAATTTTGTTAAATTATCAAAACATTATGTAGGTCGTTCAAACTGGTTGCTAGAATGTCAAAATTATTTTAATGATCCAAAATTATTTTCAAACCTGTATCTACCTAAATTTTCAGATAATTTAGCAAAATCATTCTTTCCATGTTCAAACAATCCAGTAGAAAGAAAGGCATCGTGTGCTGTAGACTTAACGCGAGACACACGATGAATTTAAAAAGCGGTGAGCGTCACAGAAGCTTGTAAGGACAGGACATCAGGAGAGGATTTGCATCCTAAGTATTAATTATGAGTCCTTACAACCTTAGTGATTTTTTGACATCGCGGATCGAACTTGAGCTTTTAAAAAGAAGTGTAAAAAAACAATAGTATTATCCGCGATAGGGCGCAATAAACGTGATTCGCTGGTTGGTTCTAGTAAAACCCCTTACCGTGAAGATACTGTCGAAGCTAACGATCATGGAGACGGAGAAGGACTACTCCATCACCTGCGAGACGACAGGCTCGCATCCCCGCGCTCGCATCACCTGGATCGAAGGAAACGAGACGTTCCGGAACAGCAAGGTCGATAGTCAATAACGAAGTATTTTGAAACCTCGATGTCGCGGACGTCGACATTTTTTTATATGTTCCCCTCCACCTGAATTATCGCCGGTTTCCTGCAATTTTCGAACGTATGTGCCAGCAGGTAAAGGAAAGTGGTAACGCGTCGGTGGTGCTGAGCACCCTGATGTTCTCACCCATCCCCGACGATCACGGCAAGATCCTCAAGTGCCGCGGCGAGAACCCAGCCCTGGCGGACGCGTACTTGGAGGACTTCTTCAAGTTGAATGTCGTCTGTAAGTGGCGGGCGCCGTTTCTTCGGCGCCTCTTTTAACCACGCGACAAATCGGATTTCGATTATCGTGAAATCAATTTGCCGAGTGACATCTTTATATTTGTAAAAAAATTTTGTATTTATAAATACGAATACGTTATATTTTAATACTTATATATTATTTTTTAATTTTGTATATTTTTATATTTTATATTATATTTTATAATTATTTTTTAAGCCGAATATTTTTATAGCATTAATTTTTATAATACTGCGGTACATGAATTGTTTATCTGTAAAGAGTGCATCTCATGAGAGATTGAAGTTAAACCGCGGGATGTCCCGTAAAAATATCTCGATCATTATATATCCTTTTTATTTTATAATCATTTTTAATAGCAATTTTTCTAGTTTTGCGGTACATGAATTGTTTATCTGTGAGGAGTGCATCCCGCGATATTGTAGATTGGAATTATTAAGCCACAGGAAGATATCTCAATGTCAAGATATCTCAATGAATTAACAATTATTAACGTAGTAATATATTTGCTCATTAATTGACAGCCGATAATTCAGATTTTAAAGATTCGAAATCGAATACGAATATGTAAATGGAACTCAACAAGTTTCGCTGTGTTTGTCATGATCTAAAATGTATGAAAATGGAAATCTGTTAAATCTGTTAAATCCATTGTACACGAAGAGTCACATATCTTATTAATATTGTCTCTCTCTCTCTCTCTCTCTCTCTCTCTCTCTCTCTCTCTCTCTCACATACGCCGACGGTTTCAATATTCCACGTCCATTTTCTCTGAATCCGCCGAAATATTTCATCGTGGTCACGCAAACGTGAAACATTGAAAAACCGAAAAATTCTCTCTTTCTCTCTCTTTTTCTGCAGTCCCGCCTAAAGTTCAGCTGCATCTGGGCAGCACTCTGAACGCGGAGAACATAAAAGAAGGCGACGATGTGTACTTCGAATGCAAAGTCCGCGCCAATCCGGAGCACCACAAAATTACCTGGCGCCACAATGTAAGTCCCACCGTCAGCAACGAATCCACTTTAATCCCGGTGTGTTTACGTTCGCGAGGCACTAGCGTCTCACTTTTAAAATTTCGATTGCTTCGCCTCTCCACCAAACAATTTCCGAGTTCTGGAAAAAAAAAAGTTCCGGCGATTGAGCGCGAAAAGCACACATAGGGGTTTGAAAAATACCCGGGATTCCCGAACTTTACATTTCCATTCGCGAGAATCGATAATGACCTTTTTTGATAAGGATCGATTCGAGTCGCGATATCTTACGATGGAACTTTTAAAGCATTATCTGAAACTTCCGGAAAAATGCCACTTTGACGAAAAAAAAAATAACTTTTGCTTTATGAGGGAAGTAGACTCGGAAATTTTCATTTCTTCATCCCTGCATATGCATTCACTTCTCCGAGAGTGGCGAATATCTGTCGCCTCGCGTTTATCGCACGGATATTCGTGACACGACTATTCATAAACGGAAATAAATTTCGCATTTTCTTGAAAAATTTCTACCTTTGCCTCCAACGTCACCTTCGTCTCCATAAAACGGGAAATTTGGAAAAAGTGTGTACGAAAGCTCCGAATATACATACCAAACGGAGAATAAGAAGATCCATTAAAAGGGAATCTTCGCGAATGGCGAATACGAGTTTTCGCGAAAAGCTTTATATGAAATCTATTTGTCATCTGAGTTTCTTATTACCGAAGAAATATGGCGGAAAAAGCTATCGTACTGGAATCTCAACCTTCGTGTTAAACGCGTTAATCCATCAATGACAGGGCGGCGTGCTGACACAAAACTATTCGGCCGGTATCATCATGAGCACCCAAAGCTTGGTGCTGCAGGGCATAGGACGCGACAACGCGGGAAATTACACGTGTCTCGCCAGCAACGACCGTGGGGAGACGACGAGTCCAATTGTGAACCTGAGAGTGCAGTGTAAGTAGATACGACAAGTACGAATCGATAACAAGGATTTCAGAAAGCGAATGTGTAATCTAGATACGCCGACGAATCGAGGATGAATCGAATTTCAAGTTGAAATCTTCGAATCGTCCGCGAATGAAAACAGGATTGGAAATGTTACTTCATAAAAGTAACGCTTTACCATTATCGTTACTTTTTGCAAAAAGTAACTCGGTACCGTTACTCGGTCCTAACTTTAAAAAGCAATGTGTTACTGTTATTACTTAAAAAATAACGATTCGTTACTTTTCTTCGTAACTTTTTTGTAATGTTAAAGTAAGATGTTAGATTAAAAAATTACACTGTTTAATAATCAATATTATTAATTGTGAAAATCAATATTAAAAATTAAAATTATAATATTAAATAAATAATTTCTTAGACCCGTAAATATGAATACATAACTTGTTGTGTGTATTAATAAACTTGTATCTAATAAATCGTCAATAAATTTTTACAATAATAGGTATTTTTAATACATGTTTATCTTTAGGAAATTGTATATAGATTGTAATTTACGAACATAGATTTTATTATAAATTTTTATTAAAAATTATTTTTAAACATCAAAAATCGTTATTAAAAATGCATTCCAATATTCACTACCAATACTGAAAATTTATAGATCATGTTACATATACATATGTATGTATACTACACATTTTTAGTATTGGTAGTAACTATTGGAATGTAGCCTAAAATATGAAATATAAAACATTTTTCGATATTTAAATTCTATATATTATAAAATATTTCTAGATAATTATAAAAATAATGAATTTTATTGAATAGTTATAAAGATAATAAAGATTTAAACTGTTTAAAGTAATGATAAAAATACAGCTAAATTGATTACTGTTTTTACTATAAAAATGTAATGACGTCAATCGTTACCATTATAGACAAAAGAGTAACGATGGTTATCGAAAAAAATTAACGAAAATAGTAACAGTGTCATAAAGTAATACGTTACTTTCCAACCCTGAATGAAAATATTTGTGTCATAATTTATGGCGCTTAATATATTTCTCGCAAATAAATTTAGATCTTTGCACATTCGTTGTTTATGATATAAATAATTATGTAAATATAATTATTAATATGAATATGTATTTATTTATTTATGTCATAAATTATAACAGTATCGACTACATAAGAATAAATTATTCACATGTTTAATTATTAAAAAGATATTATTGTATGGGAGAATTAACCTCCGACCTTTTCAGAGCTAAAAGTTAAATTTAACTATGTTGTTTCTACTTCCTCCAGTAAACTCCAAAATACGCGTTACACAATATGCCAACCGCGCGTAATTGTGTTCGGGAGCGAAATATCTCGGACGTCAGATATGAGGGATTACATTTTAGAAGCCAATTTATTTTCAACCGTCTCGTCTAAGCCCTACGGCGAACAATATAATTCTCCCGATTAAAGGCGAATAAAACGGCTCTTAAACTCGGCATAATCCCGCTGTCGAAGTTCCGCCGATCAATAACGGAGACGAGAAAGGAAAAAAAAAAGAAAAATTCCACGTTTTTATCTTGTTCAACTAAAGAACGCGTGTGTGTTGTGTTTTCCGTTCTTTTTCTTCTACGTACTCTCCAGTCGCGCCAGTTTGCAAGATGAAGGAGGTGACGATAATCGGGGCTTCCCTGGAGGAGTCCGTGAAGGTGCGCTGCGAGGTCGACGCCGACCCGAACGAGGTGGACTTTGTCTGGGAGTTCAACAATAGTGGCGAGAACTTCGAAGTCGCGCCGGCCAAGTTTGACGGCAACAACGGCACCATGAGCGAGCTCGTCTACACCCCCGAATCCGAGAGGGATTACGGTGCTCTGACCTGTTGGGGTAGGAACGCGATAGGGAAGCAGGAGGCGCCCTGCATCTATCAAGTCATTCCGGCAGGTGATGTTCTAGATGCTTATCATTATGAAAAAAAGAAAAGAACAAAAAGAAAAAGTGAGAAAGAAAAAGATAGAAATCGGCAGGAATTTATTCGACTGCGCTTCTGCTTTTTTCATTGCGAATCATAATCTGGAAGAAATCCTGTCGCTGCTGCTTTTTCAGAGGCAAACAAATGCGTCCGAGATTCTGAAAATGTTTAAATATAGTATGTACTGTTGCATCTCGCGTTGAAAACACATAATATTTAGATGTTCATATTTAGAATTCAACGCGGCTATTTACGCTTTCCTTTTTTCTACTCTGTCCAACTCGCAGCCGGCTTATCGCGCCGTACGTCATAAACTCGAAAATATTTGTTTTATCGGTTATTTCTACGAGACGAGCTGTATACGCTCTATCATAGTTTACTTAAACCATATCCCTTTTGTATCTGAGAAAGAAAATCAGATGTTGAAGAAAAATGAGAAACATTCGCTTTTAATTATATCTTTCTTTTCTGACATATTCTACTTGCAACTTCGTATAATATTTTTCTAACTTTCTCAGTAGTCGTATCAAAATATAAATTCATCAAATTTCTAACAAAGGAACAATATGTGCTATACTGTAAAAATAACATCAAAAGTTAACATTACCGATCACGTTTGAAATAAATGTTGTAGATGGTCAAATCTTGGGATCTTATGAATTCTGTATCTTGGCTTGGGCCGGAAAATATTTCACCATTTTAATTTAGATACAAAATATCTCGAGAACAATGTATTTTTGAAAAAAAATGTTTCAAATAAAAGTTGTAGAATTTGAAGAGAACCATCAGATTAATTACTTAGATTTTGGGTTCAGGGCCTTATTGGGTCCAAACTTATTGGGGCCAATAAGTCCTAAAACCAAAATCTCAGTAGCTCATCTAATGGTCTCTCTAATCTATAACTTTGGCCTCTTTAAATTCTACAACTTTTATTTGAAACATTTTTTTTAAATGTATTTGTTCTCGATATTTTGTGTCTAATTGTAAATTAAAGTAGTCAAACATGTTCCGGCTAGTTGGATACAAAATTTTAATGTTTGATGACCATTTAAAATACTTATTTCAAACTTTCGGTTGGTAACGTTAGTTTTTTTTATGACTTTTGCAATGTAATTCCCTTGTAAGGTAAAGGTATCTCTTTTGATTAAAACTCTGAAAATTCAACGTGAGAAATGTGTCTGAGCAGTGAAACCGAATCCCCTGAACAATTGCACCATCAAAGCATCACTCAATCAAAGTTCGGAGATCTTGGAGGTCGAATGCGTGCCTGGGTATGATGGCGGACTCCACCAGGAATTCCGACTAGAAGCTTATGAGGTGCTGACCGGTAATCTTCGGGTGAACGCGTCCAGCGTGTCGGCCGATCTGCCAATCTTCCGAATCGCCGTGGCTGATCTTCTACCAGCCACTCACTTCTATCTGGTGACCTACGCCGTGAATGCCAAAGGCCGCAGCGAAGTGTCGCTGTTGGAGGATATAATGCTGCGCGACTCGGAGAAGCACACAGGTAATTAAGTTATAAAAAGGATGTTATTCCGCTAAGTGTCAAAATTAAATTTTCATCACGTGGTAAATGTTTCTCTCTTTACTTTTGTATTTTATCTGAATATATTCGTATATAAAATAAAGTGTGTATAAAAGAAACTTTATCTCCGTTTTTTATTATAATAATAATAGACAGAAATGAAATGCTATAAGAACATTTCTTACGGATATGTTATATTTATATAAACGGGGGTTTTTTTAAAGATCAGCATTTCGGAGGTTTGTCTTTTCGAAACTGATTTGATTTGGGATTCAGATTTAAAATATACATTTCAGGTTTTCCCTCGAGAAAGGATTAATTTAGATAAAATTGATGATATTCTGCCAAGGACTGTCTTATATAAAAGGGATTGACAGGGATTCATGATAAATAATTTAATTTGATACTTAAAATTGAAACGAATAATGAAAAATTCACTGATTATTTAAATTTCCTTTTCTGATATATTGGCATCAATTAGTTACTTTGACAGAACCATGAAAGAATAAAAATTACATCTAACAATAACTTGTAATAATAAAACTAATAATAAAATAAAATACTAATTCAGATTTATTTCAAATTCCGTAAAATTAGAAATCCGATAACTAAAAATAATCCGTAATATTTATAATTTATAGTTTATTATCTGTCTTACAGGAAAAATCTATAAATATACCTTCTGTTTACAATAAATCACGTTTATTGCATCTTTTATTAAAAATTTGCAATATATATGATTTACCGTAAATAAAACTACTGCTATATATCTTCATTCTACGAACGAAAAATACCAATTTGTTTCTAACTGAAATATCTTACACGCATTATAATTTTCTGGAAAAGAAAGAATAGTTATATCACTCAAAACGACAGCAAATTTAACGCGTTCGCCATCATGCGCGTCACATGATTAACGCAACTAATTACAATTTTTCTAATTACAACGCGATAAAATGTATCTTTTAATAATATTAATTTTATTGTGCTGCGTTTAATTACAATTGATTTTGTATACATACATGACTATTACGGGGACGATTTTTTTATCACGCGTGATGAGACAATCGCTCATAAATTTCCATCGCAGGATGAAATTCACATTCTAGATACCGGAGTCAGCATGCTGCCGTTGATCTTGCTGCTGGTCGGCTGCCTGCTGGCCTTCGGTGCGACCGTGATCTCCGTGATGCTGATGATGTATCGACGGCGTGGCACCACGTCACCCGTACATATCGAGCCCTATATGAAGCAGCCGATAATCACACCGCCGGACTCGAGGAACAATTCGATGCTAGACGTGACCCACGGCGACCACACGTACTTCGTCGAGTACACGTTGAAGCAGGTCACCGATTATGCGCTCAATAATCAACCGGACATCATACAGTCGCCGCAAGGTACCGTTGAGCAAAAGACGTTATTTCTACTCGCGATTTGATCTGGTCCAATCGACCAGTGTAGCTGAATTTAGTTCAATTGTATTAGATTAGGTACATTTTTAACTATATACATATATTAATATCCTTGTACTACATTGCAAAAAAGACAGTAAGCAAAGGAGAGATAAAAATTTTTTATAGCTTTTGACTCAATCTGATACATTTTTGCTATTTAATTGTACAATTTATTTTTGGGTTCCGGCAATACAGGATCTAATATTTGAGCTATTCAATATTTGATCTAATATTTGAATTAGGAAAAAAAGTCGCGTGAAGAATAAATCGTTTTAAGAATTTATGGAATAATAGAGACTCGAATGAACAATAACGGAGCGTTTTGATTTCTGTCGAGCTGTCATTTTCTGAAAGTTGATCAAGTTACGTGCTGTTTTGAACTGATAAATCAATTCCTATCAAATATCAAGCTTTTATTTGAATAGCAGGGACGAGAGATGATATTTTTTTCAGAAAGTATTTATTAAAAATAAAGTTTATAATTTAAAGAGCACTCTTGCCTGTAACTAAATATATATTTAACAGAAATCTTTCTTTTTTAATGTCATCTGTCTGATCTTTGCCTTCAGCGTTTTATTTAAATTGTTCGAGAGCTGTTAATGTAAAGTGGAATAATGTGAATGTTTTAGACCAAGAGAAGATCAAACGCGAGCCGCAGCTGTTTTTGCCAGTGAGACCAGACACGTTGTTCGCGCCCTATGACATTCACAAGCAGGGACTGCAGACGAACAGATGCAGCGTAAGTCATGTCAGAAATTGTAAAATGGTCTTATTGAAGAAAGGGAACGGTTGAAATAATGTAAATGATGCACCGTTGCAATTTGTAAATTAATCCGGTATCAATTTGTGGTTCTGCCTTGCCATATCCGAGGAAAAGATTTGCTTTAATTCTTGCATTCTGATGGATAATTGCGAGGAACGATGTTACGTGTCTTAATCCTCAACGAATCGTCCCGTATAATGATTTCTAATTATTTCAATAGGTGGATTAACGTGAGATGTGCCTTTGATTCTTTTCTCCTTCGATTCTTTACAGAGATAGGAAGTTTCAATAGCGCGCGAGATTTCGAATTGCGATTTGGAAGATTAGAAATTTAATCTGCCGTAGATTGAATTTCTATCGATCGTTTATAAATTAAGCTAGCTATCTAACCAATCTCAGTTTAGCTGTCGCGCGCGACCAGTATATAATCGTTATGAATAATATCGATCTTCCACGCGGTGTGGATATCCGAGGAAGCCGCTACTATTTTCGATTCTCAATTCTATTTCTCCGCGCGCGACACTGAGTATTAATTAGATTCAGACCCGATATCTCTTGACTTGACAGCTGAACCCATTCTCCGCAAAGTCCTGGGAGCCCATCAGCTTCAAAGCCGATCGCAACCTGATGAAGGAGATCATCATCGCCAATTCTATACCGGGCCCGGAGAGCTGCGTGTAAACTTGATCGAGGAAGTGAATTGGGAGACATAAACATATACGCACACATACTTATATTCTACGCGATACAACATGCGCACACAGACACAACATATATATACACACACACACACACACACACACACACACACAGCAAATCACACATAAGGGCGATCGATTTCGTAAGCCCTGAAAACTGTATCGCGTACCGTCGCTCGATGCCATGACGGATATACGCGCGGATACATCAAAGACAAAGTCAACGAATCTCGTGTCTCGCTTGTAACACGCGCCAGTGTGACATATCACGATGACGATATCGTAGCAGACATATCAGCATATCGTAGCATATCGTGGCGCGCCACGATCTCTCCTGAGATCATCGAGAGTCTTTAGGATCATCCCCCCGCCGATCCAGTACGAGACCGGGGCGAGGAATCGCGAAGTCGTCGCGAGACGATTTAGTCGCATAATTTAACCAAACGCTACACGTGGTGTACTATTCCAAGTTTAATATATTTTGTGTCAAGTCTTAAAATGTCTCGTTATTTCTTAACGCCATTATCACGACCGATATATGCCTCCATCCCAGCCGCTTTCTCCTCTGATTTCCCTTTTCATTTCTCGCTCAGCCATTTTTAAATGTCCGAAAGAAATTTTTTTATAATTCTGTATGCGTATTATTTACGTATTTTTTAAGCTATTTTAGCTTAACATCTCAATTCATCTTCTTCATTTTATTAATGATATGTATATATTTTTAATAAATAAATAACATATTATTAATTAGAAAAATAATCCTATTTTCAATCCAAGCAGATCTTGGTGTTTAATAATATTTACCATATATACAAATTTTTTCATGTGTCTCAATGGTCAAATTCCTATGACGTCCATCCTAGAGAAGTCGGGGGAGTTCTAAGTTCAAATCAAACCCTAGCTAAAATGATATATTTTGTGATAACTTAATAAGTTCTTTACAGATTTTCAAGATTATTATTATTGTTAAATTGACGCTCAATCTAATTTCTCTTAATTGATTTACCTTCATCGGTCTAATTTTTACTTATAATAGATGTATTATTATATACTATGGTAGACGATGGATACGATTTAAATATATTTCGTACCTCTTATTCTTATTTAAATTACATAACTTCTTATTATAATAATTGGAAAATAAAATTAGGAACTAGAAAAGAGAATCTCAGAAATAATAATGTCATAACACTTCGTACCGTAATAATATTAAATCAAACTCTATTTTCTTTCTAATTATCACACAGATAGGCGATATCAAAATAGAAAGGGATATAAAAAGCTTCAGTATAAGATACTGCTTCTTAAAATATGAATTTATTTTATTATTTAATATATCATATATAAAAAGATTTTCTTCTAATATAATATAATAATAATATATAATAATATTATAACCTAGCTAATTTAATCTTTTCTCTAAGAAAA